ACACACACACATACACAAAAGTATATAACTATAATAATATTATACTTATAAATCTCTGCACGTGAGATTCGATAAAGTCGAATGCGCGCAAATTGGATGGACAATTCAAATTTACCGTAGGGAGGCGATCAACTTCTCTAAAAATAATACTGTTTCTCACGATGTCTTGACAGTGTTTGTCTTATCGCGTGTTTGACATGCAGAATTATAAAGTGAACCAGCAGAATAACGTAATGTTCCGCACAGATCTAACGATGTAAACTGGACGATGCATACTTTTGAGGTAAAAACAGTACACAATCACAATAAAGTGCATACATTTCTAGAAGAAAAAAAAAGGGGGGGGGGAATAGAAACAGATACACAATAATAAGGTATCGAGTTGAAATAATAATATGGCGGTGTTTATATAGTATAATATATTGTTTATAGATGTATAACACACGTAATAGTGTCTATATACATGAACATGCGTACAGTGGATATACATTGCGCACTTATGCTAATAAATGTATTGCATGCTCTGTCTGGATACTTTAAAAAGCAAAAACACAACAAACTTGAACAGGAGGCGAGTAGGTGTTTCTTCGATGTCCAAAACTGTCTTTCTAATTCGCAACTAAGCTAAGTAATGGGACAACCTTCTTTTTTATACTGAAATCTCAAAAGCGCGAAGCTAATTTCGTAATGATTATTCATTCATTTTATTTACCCTTTTGCTTTGTTTTATTTTTCGTCTGGTCTATTCTGTACATAGTATTGCGTGCATGTTCAATGCTTTGACTTTGTGAAAAGTGAAACGCACAACCATGGCCCAGGTGTACAATGTGGAAGAGGAGGAAAGATAGAACTCAAGTGTTGAACAAGGAGCTGGAATTTGTCACAGGCAAAACCTCTCTTCACTTCCTATCCCCATCTCTCCATCCTCATTTCCAGTCTCCCACTTAGCCCCCCCCCCCCCTTTTTTCCACCCCAACCCCAACAAAAAAGGTAAATGTCCTTTTGAACTCTTTTGAAGCAAGCCTACACTTCTACGGTTCAAAGTTCGGACCCGTACAACTGTGAAAATGCCAGCTCAACAAATCTGCTCGAAAAAAAAATGTTTATCACAATGGCATCGATTATACAGTAGTGGATACAAAATGCATGAACAACGCTTTGTTTTTCGGTTCTGAAAACGAAAGTTGGTCACCTCTGATGACGCCTTCTCTCTGCGCATGCGCATAGCCATCGCGCAGATAATTGTCTGATACGTTGTGGTGTAGCCAATCGAGTCTCAGAAGGAATATTACCATGATAATGTCGCTACCTCAGAATTACAAAGTTCTATCTGAATTTTTGGTCGTTTTGAATTATGAAGATCATGAGGTCAGAAACCCAGAAAATGTGCTATCTGCTCTATCAAAATCGTAAGATTATCGGCACTCGTAATCAAGATAAGCAAAGAATTGTATTCGAAAATGCTCGACATGTTGTGAAACTCAACATTTTTAAAAGTCAAATTTCTCAAAGCTAGGTACTCTGGAGATAGAACTTTGTAATTTTAGGGTAGCCAAGCCGGCCGCTGCCATACTAAGTCAAAGAGAGACGA